ATTTACTAACCTTAAATTTGATTGGCTGCTATATATAGGGTCGCCATGGCGACAGGTCTCCATAAAAAATTTAACTTTATTTTTTACCTTGTATAAATTACCACGACAAAGGTTCAAGAAACTAAAGTAAATAGTTCCTACCATCAATATCCATCTCAGAACTTGAATAATAATCTTCGACGTCATTGAAATCTATAATGTATATCTCACAATTAATATGCTTATTGAACTGGGTTTTAAAATCACTGCTTACCTTCTATTTCGATATCTTCACTCATTACGTTATTCGAAGGAACTACAATTTATCACCAATTTTTATTTTACCTTTTTCTTAACAAGTTATTCCATTACAGCATACCTTTTATTGTTGGGATTGGCATAGTCCAATCAGATACAGGTTCTGTGTGCCGAAACTATAGGTTTTGGACGAATAAGAGATGTATTAGATTCTGCGGGTGAAAAATTTTTCTACGACCCTACATGAGGCAGTTCCTTAGCATGGATAAATCCAGCAAACGGCCCTTCCACGGGCCATTCCCAGCAGTACAGTTTTGAAATTCCAGTCATGGTTTTGATTTTTGCTTTTTTTTTTGCTTTGAATTTTTATTATTTTTTTTTTGATTTAACTCGATGTCTTCAGCTTCTGATCCACTACTTCTATCATCACGATTTATTTTAATTTCGGCTAACGATGTTCCAGAAAGCCCTTTCGCTACCTCGACTATATCTTCGCTCTCAATCAAGTCAAAACCAACTCGAATATATCTTTTAATGCTATGGGTAATCTAATGTGGTATTAAAGCATATAACATATTAGTCTTATTAGTTTTTAAAAATAACACACAATAAAAAAAATTTAACATCACGTTTGCATGATGAGAATCGATGGTTGTCTTAGCTTCCCCTGGCTCCAAAAACAACCATCGTTTTATTTTAATGGAATACCAAGTATACCAATGCGCTATGATAGTCATCAACTCTGAATTGTGATAGTGTGCACTGTTATCGGAAATTACAGTTATCCATTTTGGTTTCTGTTTCATTGAATCAAATACAGCCTCAAACGAAGATGTGGTGAAATAGGCATCTTGCTTTGTGTCAGTAGACCAATGATCGAACGCCCGAATATCTAACATATCTTGATTATCTATTTTTCTAAAAACTAGTATAGTGTGCAAAGTCCAACCTCTTTTATCAAAGAAGTCTTTTTTAGTTTCACGGGCTGATTTTGGAAGAACTCTCATCTTATAATCAGCAACAACTAAAGTGCCTTCAGGGTCCAACTGAGCTAATGTTGCTTTGAACTGAGTGTTAAGATAAATTTTTCGCGCTTGGTGGCCTAGGTAATGCTTTAATCGCTCTTGAATTTCATGTAATTGTGCTATGTGTTCGTTAGCTACACAGTTTTCTAACTGATCAAAAAACTTATAAAATCGTTCACACTTAGAACATCTCGAAAGATGTAAAGCCATGCATTCTCCAAAAGCATAGGTAAGACAATGATCAATACAAGGATCGTGCGAAATTTTTCCGACCGGTGTTATTGTTAATTCTTGCTCAAAATCTCTCTTAAAATGGCGCCACAGGTGTTCAATTTGAGAAAGTATTTCATTCTAATAAAAAAATTTTTTTGCTCTAATAAAAAAATTTTTTTTTCTAATAAACAACCCTTATATTCCAATCAAATTCTGAACAATTCCAGTTTAAAGAAATTTTTGCACACGGAAAGACCATCAATTAATATGTGTACATACACTATATGCAAACTAAAAATTCCAAACCAATTGCTTAACAAAAAAAGGTTACTAACAAAAAAAAAAAGAAAAAAAAAAGTCTGCTAACAAAAAAATTTTGCCAACAAAAAAAAGCTTGTTAACAAAAAAAAAACAAAAAAATCTCCAACAAAAAAAAATTTTCTTGCCAACAAAAAAAAAAAAAGAAATTACATTCAAATAAAAGAAAAGGTTTTTAATATCATTTCGATTTTGTCAGTAAATGTGCTTTGCGCAATTCCAATTAAAATTTTAAATTGTTCAAAACCGTAATCGTTACAAATTCTGCAAAGGCCACCCAAATCGCTCTGATATTTTAGATGTGTACAATTTGCAATGCGGCCCATAAAAGAGGTTTTTTTCATCCCATTGGGGAAAGTTTGTTGGAACTTTTTCCAAAGTGAAGTCTTGTTATCACGTAAATAAAGGACAGGCAAGTTAGTTTTCGGGTCTGTTTTGTAAGAACTCATTGTAACGTTATCTTTATCAGAAAAAAATATTTCGAACTGTCTTTCTTTAAATTCTGCCATTAATTTGGTTGTTTTTTTTGGCATTTCTATTGGTGATGCACCAGCACCGTAGAGACGAGAATGTTTTCTGGCTTTGCTTATAGTTTTTGACGTTACCTGTATTTCATAATAATTATATATCACATTAATAAAATTTTATAAAAAAAAATGCTTTGATATCTTACTCCTAATTCTCTTTTAAGAACCTAATAATCAAAGTAAGATGCGATAATAGATAGTATTCTGATTTTTCTACCAGCCCCTCTTTTATTACTTTCTAGTGCATGGAGAAAACTATCCCAGAATTGACAACTTGTAGCAACATTACATGGAGAATTTTGATCTTTTATCTGAATTAATCCCCAATAATGTAAGTTTTTTAGAGTTTGCTGATCAGCCCTAGGATTTATAGCACACGTCCAAAATTCGACATCAGATTCCTCTTTGGAATAAGGCGTAATATTTGTACACCCGCAAGCTAGGAACATAGAACGCCAAGCTGCTAGTTCTCTATGTTGAAATGAATGACCAGGTGGGTATACACTATGTAAAACATGTGGCAGCCAAACTATTGTACCTTGTGTGAGCCATTTAGTAAAAAGAACGTGCCAGTCTTCATTAGGTATTGAAATTTTTCTACGTTTAATGTGCAAGTCAAAAATTGGTTGTAAAATTGATGTGTCGTTCCATTTAAGTGATGTACATATCATGCATGTCATATATTCTTTTTCATTCGTTAATAATGCTCGAACCTTCGGATCTTTTAGCCCAAAAAGTGCAAGATGATCCTTCTTTTCATACATTCCATAATTCTTCCAAACGACAGTTGGAGTTTCACCAACGTATTGATATACTTCATTACTACCTTTATAAACCTGTAAACTACAATGATCGTCTAAAACTTGTTGTAAAATAAGGTAAGTTTCTGAACCACGGCGTGATAATAAAGATGATGTGTAACCAGAACCAGCGTATAGAAGATCTTCACGTGAAGAAAATCCAATATTTGAAACTACTATAGTAAACTTGTCAAAATTTATGAATAATGGAAAAAACAAAATGTCAGTAGTGATTTCTGATATAATCTCTTCATTATAAAATCCAAGTACTGCCAAACCCGAATGTTCAGTTTGA